AGGGGGTTACATCCCAACCATACCCGCTAGATAAGAAATCACTCATCTTTAAAGTTTCAAACTCTTGTCATCCAGGTCTCTAGAATCATAAAATTGTAAATTGTAGTGAGTCATTCAATAAATATTTATAAATGAGCAGGCAGTTTTGTAGATTTCAGGAATTTTGCATTAAATCCATCACACAAGGCTCCTGATTTCTTGGAGCTTACATCTGAGAGTCCAGAGAGATGAGAAGCCAATAAACAAGAAAATATCAATAGTAATAAGGAGAGTACTTATTAGTTAGACTGTGACACTTCGGAGAGTGAAAAAGGGACTTGTTAATAATTATACCAAGATAGTTTAACCATTAGCTGGGGCTGTCATGGGTACACTGGGAAGTATGGTGACCTGGTGATGGGCTGAAGAAAATCAAACAGGATGATGATATGATACGGAGTGATGGACTGAAATCTACTTTAGCAAGGATTGTCAAGATAGGTCTTTCTGGGGAAATGACACTTGATCTGAAATCACAATGACGAGACTGAGCTTGTGAAGATCTGGGCCCAGAGCTGCCCAGACAGGAGGAACAGCATATAAAAATGCTGTACCTTGGGGAGGAATTTTGTGTGAGGAAGAAAGAAGTTCAATATGGCTAGAGTGTGGTAAGCAAAGAGGAAATGATAACAGAGGAGGAGGGGCGGGGCTAGAGTATGTAGGTCTTGCAGACCATGGAAGACATTCTAAGTGTTTTAGAAAGCCATTCAGAATGTATGGCATTGTAGAACATGGGGCCTTTCTTTTACTGGTAAGAAATCCAAGGATCAGAGAGTGAGTGTAACTTTCTCACTGTTGCAGTGAGGAAGTAGAAGTGTTGAATCTTGATTCCTGCATCCAGTATAAATGTTATTTCCACCACAGCAAAGTCTGCACCAAAAGACAAAGTGTTGTGGAAAAAAGGCAATTATAAAATAATCTTGTCAAGAAATTTACCTGGTTCTGCTTTGCTATCCCTAGGTTGCTGACACATTAAATTATCATTGCTCTTTTAGCCTTAATTGTACATCATGATCAGTACTTATGAATTACTGTGGTACATCTCTTTTATCAATCACCATTTCTGGGATTTTTTTTTTGATCTCTCAGTAAGGATAACAAAGTTGCAGAACTATTTTAAACTAAAGTCAGTTTTTACCCTCACTGCATGTTGAGACTAAATAGCTTGAACATTAAAACCTAATTAGAAATACATTAACAAGCAAAGGAACCCTATGCTACACCAGTTGGTTGCCTTTTTCCAAAGACTTAGGACTAGATTGAGGGTAGTATAATAAGGGTCACTAACTCATTACACATGATGTTTTGTATTTTTATTTCTAGACCTACCACATACAACCCAGAGATAAAGCCACCTCGGAAAGTCACCTGGCCAATGAGATTTGGATCTCCAGACTGGGCTCAGATTCCATGTCTACAGAAACGAACCCTGAAAGCTGAGGTAGTACCAGATTGGACTTGTGTAGGGCATTCTACCTAATTCTTTCATGTTTATCAGTGATTCTTAACCAGCAATCTGTGAATAAGTTTCAACAAGTCCTTGTTCCCCTGGAATTACATGTACAATTTTTATGTATATGCATATGGGGATCTTTTTGGAGAGTTACACAATTTCACTTGATTTTTTAAAGGTGTATGTCTGAACAAGTCAGATTTTCTTAGTTAATCCTCAAATAATCTTCTGTGGTAATCCGAGATAATCATCCCCCTATGATTGAGGAGGAAACTGAGGCTCAGGTGGATTGAGTGACTTATGGATGTTGGTCAGCTAGAATCCAGATCCTGTGACTCCTAAGCCAGTGCTCTTTCCATCACACCACTTGAGTTTTAGATCGTCAAGGGGCTGTAGCTCATTCTGGCAAGAACCTGGATTGCGGGACAGACTGCCTGGGTTCAAACACTAGCTCCATATTTGCTTGCTGTGTGATCTTGTGCAAGTCCTCTAACTTTTCTAAGCCCATCTTAGAAAAGTTGCTTGTCTTGCAATGGGTTAATATTAGACTCAATTTCATAAGGTTGTAAAGATTGAGATAATGTAGAAAAGCATTTAGCACAATACCTGTAACATCACAAATGTTCAACCCATGTCAGCTGTCATAATTCCAGAAGTGCCTTGTTTTTCCCTGGTAGAACTCTGCATTAATTCTACAAGTATTTATTAAATGCCTGATGTATTAATATTATTATGCTAGGGCCTATGGGTAATGGTTAAGAATTAAACATATAATCTTTGTTTTCATGAAATTTAACAGCCATACTTGGAGATTTACTAAGGAGAAAATAATTTCTAGCATGATACTCACCAGAGTAAGATGACAGGAAGCAGATACACATGCCAGTATTGAGAGAGTCACTAAGGCCGGATTACTGTGGGGGTGGGGCTCAGCTGGGCCCCAGCAGCTA